AAAACATGACAAACAAAAAACAGCTAGCAGTATCCTTATATGTTGTAAAATGATGCAGTCACTTTGGAAAAGTTTTGCAGTTTCTCAAAAGGTTGAATAGAGGTACCATTTGAACCCAGCAAAGGAAATGAAAACTAACTCATCTGTCTGGAAGCTTGTAGATGAATGTCAAAAAGCATAATTCATAATATTACCAGTACCATTCATAATATTGTCAGTGAATCCACTGACAATCTTTTCACTGATAAAGGGCAAAATGTGATGTATCCATATACTAGAATATTATCTAATTAAGAATGAGTTGATACTACGGTTATGTGCGTAAACCTAGCATACATGGTAGGTAAAAGAAGCTTGTCACAACACATGTATTTTATGATCCATTTATATAAAATCTTAAAAATAGGCAACTCTACAGAAATTAGATTAGTGGTTGTTAGGGGATTGTGGAAAAGGGAAATGAAGTAAAGTCTTAAACTATTAATGATAGTTATACAACTTCGTGAATATGTTTTAAACTTGAATTGTATATTGAAACAGACAAATTGTACAGTATTGTATGTAAGTTTTATCTCTGTAAAATTGCTTAAAACAACTCAAGATTCTGAAGCTTAATTTTCTGTTCTATATAGCTAGAAACATCAAGATCTCATTGTATTAGTATATTATACTCAATAGAGCAAGAAAGGCTTTTAGCTCACGTTGCTGAACATCAATAACATTAGCAATGTCTTTTTTTTTGGGGGGGGGGGGGTGGTCCAGTCATGGGGCCTGAACTCTGGGCCTGGGTGCTATCCCTCAGCTCTTCAGCTCAAGGCTAGCGCTCTACCACTTGAGCCACAGCACCACTTCTGGCTTTTTTCTTTTTGCTTATGTGGTGCTGAGGAATGGAACCCAGGGCCTCAGGCATGCAAGGCAAGCGCTCTACCACTGAGCCACCTTCCCAGCCCAACATTAGCAATGTCTTGAAGTGTATTCTGTAATAAAGTCAAAGTTTGTCCTATAAATTTTAAGTAGAATTTCTAAAATTAGTATAATCTCTTGTTGTAAGCTCATTTTCTGGAATCTTACAACATGAGACAAGTAAATTTTACTAGTTAGATGCTACTGAATCTTTGGATTAGAAACCTGGACTTAGGGCTGGGAAGGTGGCTCAGTGGTAGAGCACTTGCCTTGCATGTATGAGGCCCTGGGTTCAATTCCTCAGCACCACATAAGCAAAAAGAAAAAAAAAAGCTGGAAGTGGCGCTGTGGCTCAAGTGGTAGCGCTCTAGCCTTGAGGTGAAGAGCTGAGGGACAGTGTCTAGGCCCAGAGTTCAGGCCCCATGACTGGACCCCCAAAAAAAGAAACCTGGACTTATTAGTTGATTGTTGAGACTTGGAATTCTGTTAGCACATTTCTTTATAAGCATATTATAAATTTGGTATTCTAGTAGCAATTCTGCGGGCAGTTAGCTTGCAACTGGTGCAGTTGAAACGCAGAAAGGTCATGTGCCAGAATCTGCCAACCTTCAGGCCAAGTTTTGGATAAGACTCAACAAGTTTTCATGTCCTGCTATAAAATCAGTATTTAAAAATACTGTTTTTGCTAGAGTGAATGGAAAAGAGCCCTGAGTGAACAGTACATGGGAGAACCAAAAAATTAAACTTAAGTGACAGTTAACTTTGTATGGACATATCCTAGGACTGGATTTTTTAAAGTCTACTTGTTATTGCTATTATAGAATGCAAAGAAAGTGATTGGATAATTCCTTTATAAAAATATTATTGATTAAGCTTAAGAGCATTTTAGCACTTACAGTATGGATTAGCACCTGTTATTTGGATTATGGTAACTGGCAGACTAATTACACTTTGAAAAGATTGATTTGGGAAGGGTTGTTACTACCTTAGAAAACAGGAGTAGAATTCTTACTGGTTTAACATATTTGTATAGAATACGTACTGTGTTGAAGGACTTGTTCCAGTTTCCCAACGTGTGTGTGTGTGTGTGTGTGTGTGTGTGTGTGTGTGTGTGTGTGTGTGAGAGAGAGAGAGAGGGGGGGGGGGTGGGCAGGGAGGGAGGGAGAGAGAGAGATCTATCTAAACATCTGCATTAGCCTGAGGGAATTTACAAACCCATTGTGATAGCAATATATGGTTAATTTCACTTTGCCTATTTTGCCTTTGGATTTGTCAGGATGACCTAGTCTAAGATATATGACTTCTGCCTTGTCCCTCATATGCCTCCAAGTTACCCACTTTGGTATACTGACAGTACTTGGTCCAAGCCTTGATCATCATAAAGTTGAGCCATTTTTACTATTTGAGGGCCAATCCATGACAGTAAATTTGTTCCCTAATATCTGTGTGTGTTGGGAAAGGGTAGGAGAGAGATGGGAGGAGGGGGGAGGGAGGGGCAAAAGTCAATGTGGTTCTGAAGAGTTTAATGGACTGGCTTTCTCCAAAGATACTATTGTCAAAAGTCATTAGTGATTTAAACTGGAGCTTAGTAACAAAAATTAATGGGGTCAAAATATCTCTTGTCTTTGTTAATAGTTACATTCTAATGGAGTACTAATTATCACAAAATAATTTTAAGGGGGGGAGTTCTTAAAGTGGAGAAAAAATGTAACTGGATCATTAGTCTCGGGATTGTACTTATTGCCATGGGGTGCTCTTGGAATCCTCTGTCTTCTTTCTGGGCCTGGGCGCTGTCCCTCAGCTCTTCAGCTCAAGGCTAGCACTCTACCACTTGAGCCACAGTGACACTTCCGGCTTTTTCTGCTTGTGTGGTGCTGAGGAATCAAACCCAGGGCCTCAGGCATACAAGACAAGCACTATACCACTGAGCCATCTTCCCAGCCCTCTGTCTTCTTTCTTGAGGTTGCTTGTCTCATCAGATCCAGTGTTCTAGGAATTTTGCTTTGGAAGCTAGGCCCCCCCCCCTTTTTTTTTCTGTGTTCATCATGGAAAATTAGAAAATACAGTTAAATAAAAAGAGAAAATTTCCAAGCTCTGGGGGCTGGTGTGGTTCAGGCCTATAATCCTAGCTACTCAGGAGGCTGAGATCTGAGAATTTCAGTTGGGAACCAACCAAGGTAGACAAGTCTGGTAGACTGTCTCCAGTTAACCAACAAAAGAACTGAAGCAAAGGTGTGGCTCAAGTAGTAATATCTCTCATCTTTTTCCTTTTTCTTTTTCTTTTTGCTTGCCTGCCTGCCTGCCTGCCTGCCTCCCTCTCTCCCTCCCTCCCTCCTTTCCTTCCCTTTTTCTTTTTCTTTTTTAAAAAATTCTTAATATAAAAGTGTTATACAGAGGGATTACAATTATGTAAATCAAGTAAAGGATACATTTCTTTTTGGACAATGTCAACCCTTCCCTCCCTGTCTCCCAGTTTTTCTCTCCTTTCCCACCAAGTTGTATAGTTCATTTTCAGCATAGTGTCTTGCTGCATTTGTTCACCCTTTGTTCTTCCATTTCTGTGCCTCCCCCACCCTCCACCATCCTCCTAAAGACATGATGAACAAACTAGACAGAAAGGAAACAAAAACAGCAACAAAGAAAAAGCCGTTTCCATTTCCTGGAGTTTATTTCCTATATCTCTTTTCTTTTTTGTCTTTTCTTTCACCTGTCTTAGGGCTTGTACTCAAGGCCTGGGCACTGCCCCTCTACTTTTTTGCTCAAGATTAGTGTTCTACCACTTGAGTCACAGCTCCACTTTCAGCTTTTTTTTTGTTGGTTGTGGGGCTTGAGCTCTGGGCCTGCGCACTGTCCCTCAAATCTTCAGCTCAAGGCTTATCACATTACCCTTGAGCCACAGCACCACTTCTGGGTTTTCTGGTGGTTTATTGGAGATAAGAGTTTCATGGACTTTTTTGCCCGAGCTGGCTTTGAACTGTGATTCTCAGATCTTAGCCTCCTGAGTAGCTAGGATTACAGGTGTGAGCCACCAGCGCCCGGCCACTTTTCAGCTTTTTGATGGTTAATTGCAGTTAAGTAAAAGTAGATCACTTGATCTAGTAGAAAATAGTGAGTCAAGGTTTTAGTAAGAGGTTTTTAGTTTCAGATCTCCCACTTTACTGACTGCTACTTTGTATGTTTCAGTTTATTTTTTCTTCTGTTAAAAAGTATGAATAATAATCCATCCTGTTGCCAGCTGCTCATATCTGTAATCTTAGCTACTTGGTAAGCTAATTGGGAGGACTATGGTTCAAGGCCAGCCAAGGAAAAACTTGGTTGAGACTCCATCTCAACAGAGAACACTGGACGTGGTGACACACACTGGTCATTTCAACTACAGTGGGAAATACTAACAGGAAGATTGCTGTCCAGGCTGTCCTGGGCAAAAACAAACAAGACCCTACCTCAAATATAGTCAGAGTAGAAAGGGCTGGAGGCTTGGCTCAAGCAAGAGCCACCTGACTAGCCAAATGTGAACCCCTGAGTTCAGACCCTAATACTGACAAAATAAAAATAATCCATCAGTTGGATCATGTACAAGGGCCCTCCCTATCCTTGTCTGGTGCCTCGAACCCCCTGCGTAGCCAATGCTATCCTTACCAATGTAATCCTGTTAAAATAACCTTTACATAGGAGGGAAAAGGATAACTAACTGGAAGGTGGGTCTGCCATTAAAACAAAAAAGGGGGAATCTGTAGAGCACATGGGCAGCAAAGATGGCGCTGAGAGGGAGTTGAGTGGGCAGAGCCCAATTTGCTTTACGTTCAGTGTGTAACCAGCCCATGGAAGCTTAGGTGCATGATAGAGTGTGACCTTGACAATGATTGGTTCCTTTTCCTCCCCTGCCAGGCCACCCGATCTTTTTTGCTTTAAAAAGGGCTTGCTCTGTGTTAATAAACGAGTTTTTTCCTGCTTAAAAACAAAATAATCCATCTCCTGCATTTAATATTATTTTTGAGGATTAAATGGAATAATGGTTGTAAAAGCATTTTAATTGGGAAAACAGTTCAAATCTAAGGAATTATTGCATATTAACATTTCCTCCTTTTTTCTTGTAGGTAGTGTTGGTGCTTCTTTTCAGTGCCAATCCATCCATCACGACCACATTTGTCATGATGACAGTGACAAGGTGAGGTCCATGTTGATGAAAATGCATGCCATCCTTATATTACTGGATTCACTTGCATAACTCGACCTAGAGCCAGGAGTGTGACTTGCTGGGTGCAGTATTCAAGTGCAGAAGACCTTATAGGTTTGCGTGTCGATTATTGGACTGTTTCCCAAACCTAAGGATAATTCTCTCAGGAAAAAGTAGATTGGACTCTTAATTAGTCCTCCAGTTCCCTATTTCCATTTTTTTTTTTTTTTTTTTGGTTGTGGGGCTTGAACTCTGGGCCTGAGCGCTGTCCCTCAGCTCTTCAGCTCAAGGCAAGCGCTCTACCACTTGAGCCACAGCACCACTTCGGCTTTTTTCTGTTTATGTAGTGCTTAAGGAATCAAACCCAGGGCCTCACGTGTGCGAGGCAAGCACTCTACCACTGAGCCACCTTAACGTGCTTAGCTATTCTAGTGAGTGTGAAGTGACATTTTAGTTTTATTTCATTCCTTTAGTAACTAATGTTGCTGAATGTCTTTTTTTTTTTTTTTTAATGGTTATTGGCCATCCCTAAACTATTTAGTGAAATGACCTTTTTTTTTTTTTTGTCAGTCATGGGGCTTGAACTCTGAGCTTAGGCACTGTCCCTGAGCTCTTCACCAAAAGGCAAGCACTCTACCATTTGAGCTGCAGCACCACTTCCGGTTTTCTAGTGGTTTATTGGAGATAAGAGTTTCACGGACTTTCCTGCCCAGGCTGGCTTTGAACCGCGATCCTCAGATCTCAGCCTCCTGAGTAGCTAGGATTACAGGCGTGAGCCACCGGCGCCCGGCCCTATTTCCATTTCTTTCCTTCCTTGCACAATCTAGATTTTAATATATGAACATGTGTTTTCCAAATGTAGTTATCTCAGCAACTTGTATTTCTTTCTAGCTGGTTATATTGTGGACAGTCCAATTTGGTTCATTTTTGTAGCTGAATAATTTATTAAATTATGTATGTCTTCTTATGTGTTATCTTTTTCACATTTTTTGACTGTTTCCAAAACACAGATTAAATCTTAAGGATTGAGAATGTAACCTGTTTGATTCATGGATGGTAGAGAGTAGGGTAGGGTAAAGCCTGCTTTAGGCCTGAGTTTGGTTTTGTTTTTTAAATTATGTCTAAACTGTTAATGGTTTTGTTTCATTGTATTGAATTTTGCTTCTGTTCTTTTTTTTTTTTTTGGTGTGTGTGCGGTGCTAGTCCTGGGACTTGAACTTAAGATTGGATACTGTCCCTGAGCTTTATTGCTCAAAGCTAGGGTTCAATTCCTTGAGCCACAGCTCCACTTCCAGCTTATTATTGGTTAATAAGAGTCTCATGGACTTTCTTGTCTGAGCTGGCTTTGAATTATGATCCTCAGATCTCAGTCTGCTGAATAGCTAGTATTACAGACCTGAACTACCAGTGCCTAGCTCACTTCTATTCCACCTCCACCCCTATCCCCGGTCATGGGACTTGGGTCTGGTGCTGTCCCTCAGCTCTTCAGCTCAAGGTGAATGTTCTACCACTTGAACCACGGCACCACTTCCAGTTTTCTGGTGGTTAATTGAAGATAAGAATCTCACAGACTTTCCTGCCCAGACTGGCTTTGAACCGTGATCCTGAGATCTCAGCCTCCTGAGTAGCTAGGATTACAGGTGTGAGCCACTGGTGCCTGGCTTATTCTTTTTATTTCTAAAGAGACTTGGTATTGGGGGGTTTCCAGTACTCATCATTAGCCTTGATGGTCCAACCTGTGTGCTAGCTGATTTGGCACATCTGGCTGGTGGTGGTGGATTGCCTTAAATTTATTCTTGTCCACTATCGATTTCCAGAGGTTTTCCTCTTATTTCCTGTGTCTTTTATGCAGGAATGTATCACTGCCTCCTTTGGTAATTCCCAGTGCAGACCAGTCCCAGTGCAATTTTAATCTCTCTTGTTTTGATCAAGAACCTCGTCCTGGCACTTGTGGCTTATACCTGTAATCCTACTACTCAAGAAGCTGAGATCTGGGAACCACAGTTCAAAGACAGTCTGGGCAGGAAAGTCTGTGATCATGACTCTTATCTCCAATTAACCACCAGAAAAATGGAAGTGGTGCTATGGCTCAAAGTGGTAGTTCTTCCACCTTTAGCAAAACAGCTCAGGGACAGCATCTAAGCCCTGAGTTCCAGCCCCATAACCAACCAAAAAAAAAAAAAAAAAAAGATTCCCTCAAGCCACTCCAGCTGCTTCTGTGGGGAATGTTCTGGAGGGTCTATTAGTTATCTAAAGCTAGCTCACTTTGTTCGATTGTACTTTCCTTCCCTCTTTTGCCCCTCCCTCTTGAACAAATAGTACATCAATTCTGGAATTACTCTGATGCTTGGTGATGAAGCCAGTAGTTTATTTTCAGTTTCCCTCTATTCAGACTAGAAGCAGTCAGCGCTCAGGCCCTGAGTTTGAGCCCCATGACCTACCAAAACAATAAAATAAAGAACCTCTTCCCTCATTATACTGCAGCTAGCTAGATGAAGAAGTTGGTTGAAAGCTGGGTACTGGTGGCTCATGCCTATAATCTTAGCTGATCACAGTTAGAAGCCAGCCCAGGCAGAAAATCCCCGTGAGACTTTTTATCTCCAATTAAGCATTCAAAAACTGGTAGTGGAGCTGTGGTTCAAAGCAGCAGAGCGCCAGCCTTGAGCAAAAGAGCTCAGGGACAGTTCTCAGGCCCTGAGTTCAAGCCCCATGACTGATAGTGACAACAGTAACAAAAAAACAAGTTGGTTGATAATTGGGATTTTCCAAATGGCTTTCTTTGTTTTGTCTGATCACACTGTCCTTGTAACCTTTGTTCGACTCGATTTTACTGTGAGTGTAGGCTTATAGCATTCTAAAGTCTCTTATTATTTATTAATTATTCTTAAATTTCCTTATTTTTTTTGTTGGTTGTGGGGCTTGAACTCTGGGCCTGGGCGCTGTTCCTGAGCTCTTTAGCTCAAGGCTAGCACTCTACCACTTGAGCCACAGCCCCACTTCGGCTTTTTTCTGTTTATGTAGTGCTTAAGGAATCAAACCCAGGGCCTCACGTGTGCGAGGCAAGCACTCTACCACTGAGCCACCTTCCCAGCCCTCCTTACTTCTAATTAATTCATGTATGACTTGAGTGGATATAGGGTAATAAGCAAGGGGAAAGACACAGAGAGAGAGAGACAGAGACAGAGAGAGTGAGAGAGAGAGAGAATGAGAGAACAAGTTTGTTAGATCTTACCTCTTCATTTTCAGTAGCAGTGGCAAATCCCCAAATCCTCGATTTTGCCTGTCTCCCAACTTTCTCTGTTATTGTTGTACCAGTTTCAGTCTATAGTGCTGGAAGGGGCTGACTCTAGATCTTTAATTAAGTAATATCTTGTAAGTTGCAAACTAATATTTTTCATTTATGTTGGACATAACATTTCACCCAAGCCTTCTAGTGTGTGTGTGTGTGTGTGTGTGTGTGTGTGTGTGTGTGCGCGCGCGCGCGCGCGCGCGCGTGCGTGCGTGCTGGTACCAGAACTTAGACTCTAGGACATCATTCTTACTCATACTTCTTCACAGCTGGTTCTTTACCACTTGAGCCACACTTTCAGCCTACCTCTTTGTGTAGTTTTAGAGATCGTGTCTCATGGATTTTACTGCTTGGGTTGGTTTCAAACCATGATCTTCCAGGTCTCAGCCTCCCAATTGGATAGCTAGGATAGCAGTTGTGCGGGCCCCCTCACCCCCCACACACATTTGTGCCTCGCTTGCCTTATATTTTTAATGTTCATTTAGTTGCTTTGTTTTTTTTTCTTTTTTGGTCTTTTTAAAATGTTCAGTTAAAGACCCATAGTGCATAATTTCCAGGTAAAAACTTTTTAATTTATTATAAATTTGAGCACTTTTATGCTAAGAATTGTTCCAGGTATTGGGGACAGTTCATTGCACAAAACAGAGTTATTTGCTTTTTTTTTTTTTTTCTTATTTACTGGTTCTTTGGGGCTTGAACTCAGAGCCTGAGTGCTGCCTCTGAGCTTCTTTGTGCTCAAGTCTAGCACACTGTCATTTGAAGCTACAACACCACTTCTGGCTTTTTCTGTGTGGTTTATTGGAGATAAGAGTCTCTTGGAGGCAGGGATGGGAGGGGGAATGGGAGGGCAGGGATGGTAAGCGGAAACAAAGGAGGAGGCAACAATGCTTAATAAGAAACGTATTCATTACCTTGCTCATGTAATTGTAACCCCTCTGGACGGTATTTTCACAATAAAAAACAACTTATTAATTTAAAAAAAGTCTCATGGAGGGGCTGGGAAGGTGGCTCAGTGGTAGAGTGCTTGCCTTGCATGCTTGAGGCCCTGGGTTCGATTCCTCAGCACCACATAAGCAGAAAAAGCTGGAAGTGGTGCTGTGGCTCAAATGGTAGAGTGCTAGCCTGAGCTGAAGAGCTAAGGAACAGTGCCCAGGCCCAAAGTTCAGGCTTCACAACTGACAAAAAAACAAGAAAAGAGCATGCTTTCCACAAGGGGAGAGGTGAGACAATAATTTATACCTATTATTAATTGGCTGCTTGTATTATAAAAAACAATAAAGCAGAGGAAAGGTAGAGAAGTATTGAAGAAAGTTTACCTTTTAAAGCAGGTAAGTCACAACACCTTTTCAAATAGGGACTGCCTTACTTCCATTTTGTATGTTAGGAATTTTAGACACAGATTAATTTGTCTAAGATCACACAGTTGACAAGTAGCACAACTGAGATTGAAACAAATTGTGGAGGCCCTAGAGATTAGTTGGTGGGCAGTATTTTCAATCTTTCTTACCCAGGTCCTTTTGGGCTCAGTTCTTCTGATTCATTACTATTATTAACCATATAATCATGAATAGCTATTATAACAATTTGTTAATCTAAGTAGTCAGGCCGCTCTGCCATGACATCCCTTCCCTGCTTCATATCATATCCCTGCTTCTTTTTTTTTTTTTGGGTCCGGTCGCGGGGCCTGAACTCTGGGCCTGGA